GGGGGGGGGGCTTCCTGAAGTCCCGGCACGTGAGTCACGGGGGGCCCTCCCGCGCCCTGGGGTCACCGGTATTTCCCAGGTAGCGGGAGCTGTGGCAGGACAGATGCAATGACAAATAGTCTGTTTTAAAGCTAACAGGGCATGTCTGCCCGGCTGCCCAGTGGAAACCTCTCTAATCACCAGAGAATGAAGGATTCTCTTCCCTCCTTCCCTCTCCCCCCAACTCCTTCCTTCTTTCATCTCTACAGCTGCACCTGCAGCCGCTGCTCAGAAACTGAGCAGCTGCCCGCAGATGTTCCTCGGGGCGAGCCCGGCCGCGGGCCGACGCGGGGGCCTGGCCGCCATCATCGGGGGCCTCGGGGTGGCCGGCTGAGCCTCCTGGGCCCGGCCTGGTTTGGGGGCTGCTGCCCGGGCCCACCCCGCCTGACCTCGTTCCCAGGTGCCTGTCATAAGCTTGGCAGGGCTCCAGCCAGACGGGCGCATGGGTCTGGCCCACTGGACCCCCTGCCTGCCAGCCCACGCCTCCCCCCGCCTCTCCAGCTCCTTGTTTGTCCTCAGCCGGGCTGGGAAGGTGCCATCTGGCCCAGCCGCCTTCCAGCAGGGCTTTGTCCTGCCGAGGGTTGATGGGGGCTTCTGGGGACGGCGTTGAGTTGGGGCTGGTGCGCTCGGGGCCCCTCCCCTGGGACAGGGGCTGCCTGGGGCCCCTCACTCTGCTGTTTGATTCAGCAAACAGTGCCGGAAGCGCGAGGAAGCGTGTGGTGGCCTGGAGTTGCCTGGAGCTTGTCCCCAGATTTTGTCCTTAAATCGAGGTCCCCTCAAGGACTTCGCTGTCCTGGGCTGACGGTGGAGAGGCCCTTGGCTGCCGTCTTCCTCCTACTGCGGCCTGAGGGGAGGAGGGGCCTTGCTGCCAGCCTGGAGGCAGAGCCCAGGTCACCCTGGATCCCATCACCCCAGGCATTTATCGGGGGAGCTGCCCTGGCACCTAGGGGGCCTCCGGCTGCAGCCACTGCGTCCCCATCCAGAGAGCATCTGAGGGCCATGCCGTCCCTTGTCTAGTCCATCGCAGACCTTGGGCACAGGGCCTCTCCACTCCACAGTGGCCCCCGTGAGGGGCAGGCCCCAGAGCGGCTGAGGAGAGCCTTCGTGCCTCGTCGTGGGGGTCAGCACTTGTACTGGCCTGGCCCTGCGCCAGCAGAGGGAGGGGTGTGAGGGGGACCCGGCACGCTGAGGACAGCCTCTTGGGTGGTAGTGTCGACGGGGAGCGCGAGAGGGTGTAGGGGGGTGGGCTAGGAGGTGCAGCTGCTTGTGTGAGACCCCCGTTTCCCGTTTACACCCGTGCACCCATCCCTGCTGCTCTGTGAGCCGCTGCTGTGATTGCACGTTTGACAGCTGGGGGAACCGAGGCCCAGGGCAGTTATGGGACCCGTCCAGGGTCTCCAGGACCAGACGGGAGCCACCCCGCGCCGGACCCCGTGTAGAAGGCTCGTAATACCCGGGCGGGGGTCCCGGGCTCCCTGCCCTGACCCGGGCTTGGCGCACGTGTGGGTCCCACCCTTGACTGCCGCTTTGTGACCACCCATCCCGGGAAGGGCAGGTCGGAGTTCACGCACCACGAGGGCCCCTCCGTGAGCCGAGGGGCTGTGCCCACACGTGAGAACAGATGTGGCCGCTCATTAAAGATTCCAGTCAGGGGCCTGTCTCCTCCAGTTAACGATCAGTGCCGCTGTGCCCACCCACCAGCACGTTTGGTAAATATGGTGACGGATGGGCCCCTCATGCTCCGCGGGGTCATCCTCTGCTGGTGTGGAGGTGGAGGGGTCGCCCAGGGGTCTGTGCAGTCTGTCTCTTGCCCCCCCTACCCAGGGAGTGAGATGGTTGGGGGTCTCTGCTGCCCCATCTCCTGACTCTGACGGGAAGGTTACTGGCAGAGTCAGGGCTGGAGGAACAGTAGAGGGTGTCTCCTTGGGGACAGACTCTTGTCACCGCCCCAGGTACAGTGGTCATTCCTGGACACGCGCCACATCAGTGAGGAGACAGAGGGTTGTGGCCCAGCGGAAACACCGTGGGTTTGGGGTGGACAGACCTGGGCCCACGCCCTGCTTGCTGCGGTTGATCAGGGGCGGCCGGGCCTGGTGCCAGGTGGCGGGCGTCGTGCCATCTGGCCAAGGAGGGGCCGGGTTGTGGAGCTTTCGGGGCTCAGGGGAGGCCTGGGCCGAGATATCCTCACCTTAGGCTGAACAGGGTGTCACGGTGACGGAGCCTCCAGACTGGCGGCCGCTCCCGCGTCCAGAGCGAGAGCCTCTGGCTGCTGTTGACGCTCGGTGCCTGCCGTGCGGCCCTCTCTCAGCCGTGTGAATGACCCCAACGACAGAACCTTTCGATGTGTTGTGGACGCTCCTGTGGGCGGGCGTGCAGGACGGTCCTCCGTGTGGCTGGGGGTTCTGGGGGCCGCCTCCTTCCCCGTCCTGCCTTGCGTGAGCGCCTTCTGGTTTCTCAGGGGTCTGCCTTCCCCGCCAGGCCCCAGGTCACTCTCTGTGTCCGGGAGTCTGGGGCAGGCGGGCCCACAGCCCTGCCCCCATCAGTGTGCAAAGGTCCCCAGACAGGTCTGGCCAGTTGTGCTCTGGTCGGTGCCCTGGCCGCCCCGGGGTTTGTCTGGGGGACAGCTTGGCATGCCCTGCCCAAGGGCAGCAGCAGCTTCTCGGCCACGTCCTCCGTGGGCACCGTGGGCCGAGAGGTATCTGTGATGCGGGCCGGCAGCTGGCAGCACAGCTGATGCTTTGGCCCCTTGGGATGCCGGTGCATGCCTGGTGATCAGTGGCCAGGGGCTCCGCGTGGTTCTGTCACAGCCGCCGCAGTGCAGAGCTCACCGCCGGGGGTTGAGGGGGACTGCGGGGCCCACCATCATCCAGCTCCCGCGTCTGACTTTGGAGCAGGTGTGACCTGTGGGAGATCTGTGCTGGGAAGGCACGGGCGGCCCTACTGTGCTGTGTCCCCTGGCGGGCACTCGTCTGGACCCCAGTCCTATCCCAGGGCGTCTGTCCTTTCCTGTCGCCCAGATGTGTTTCAGTCCAGACCCACCCATCATTGGAACCCGTGTCCTCCGTGTCCTCCCTTCTTTCTGTTCCGCCTGCCACGCTGCTCATACCGCAGGTTTGGGTGGAAAACCGTAAGGAAAGGCCATCTCTAGATCGTGCTCTGAAGCATGAACCCCGCCCCCCTCCCCGAGTCTGGAGGAAGGCCTGGCTCGTCGTTGGCCGTGGTCAGAGCCGCCCGCCCCTGCCCTGACCCACTGCTTTCTGTCCTCTAGCAAGACGCTGGCTCTCGGGGCAGTGGCAGCGGTCGGGAACGCCTCATCGTGGAGCCCCCGCTGCCCCAGGAGAAGGCAGGGGGCCCGGCCATCCCCTCACACCTGCTCAGCACCCCCTACCCTTTTGGCATCTCCCCCAGCTCGGTGGTGCAGGACTCCCGCTTTCCTCCGCTGAAGTAAGTGCAGGTCGGGGCCCGGGGAGGGCACGCGTGCTGGGCTCTGGACCCCTGAGGCTCTGGCCGCCAGGCCAGCCGCACCAGCTGAGCCCAAGAGCCGCCAGATGGTGGCTCAGCCCCGGGCCGGCAGCCCCGTCTGCGCCTGCTGGCCGTTTCCACGCTGAGCCGACGGCTGGCTCTGCCGTCTGCCCGACCCTAAACCCCCAGTCTGGGGCTCCCGGGGCCAGGGGTCCCTCCAGGCCGCGGATAGCGGCCCTGCGCCCACTTGGTGAGGACGGCGGGGGCCGGGGGGGCCCAAGGAGCAAGCAGCTGCCCACCTGTGCCCTGGGCCTCCTGCCAGGATCTGTCCTTGCGAGGGAGGCATGGTGGAAGTGCCGGGAGGTTGGCCCGTTTCCCGGCCTGGGGCTCACCTCCGCCTTTCGTCCTCTGTCTGTCCCTCCCGCAGCCTCCAGCGGCCCGTGCACCACGTGGTGCCCCCCAGCACGGTGACAGAGGACTACCTGCGGAGCTTCCGGCCCTACCACACCGCCGAGGACCTCCGCGTGTCCTCCCTGCCTCCCCTGGGCCTAGACCCGGCCACCGCCGCGGCCTACTACCACCCCAGCTACCTGGCCCCGCACCCTTTCCCCCACCCGGCCTTCAGGTGAGGCGCCCCAGACCTCCCCACCCACCCTTGGGCAGACACTGCTTGGGGCCAGATTCCCAGGGAGACCCCAGGCGGCCACCCCTCCCAGCCCTGCAGATGAGCCGTTAGGACTTTACCCCCGGAGGGAAATTCTGTCCGAGCTGGCCTCGCCCCAGACCCTCCCTCTCCCGCCATCAGCTCCACTGGTGCACTTAAGCGTTAAAGCGCAGAGCGCAAGGTTTGTGTGCGACCAGGAAACCCTGCTGGAGACGGTGCTGTACCACTGCTCTACCGAGAAGCTTCCTGCGTCCTCCGTGACGGGTCGGCAGTTATGCTGTGGACCACCCCTCCCCAGACCTGGAAGTCTCCTCGCTTGGCCTGGGGTGGCCAGCAGGGCCTCGGAGCCCTGAGCTGTTATCATCTGTTGGCCTCTGGGAGGAGGGGGCTTTGCGTCTGGCTGTGGACGTGGACCCTTTCTTCAGGGCCTTCGTGGAGGCTCTGTGGCCGTCCTGCCCTGTCCGGCGCCCCTGGATCAACAACCGTACCTGGCTGGGGCACCTGGTGGTGGGGCTGGGTCTTGCCTTTTTTCCTTTACGTTCCGTGCTCACTAGCGCCATCTTCTCGCACAGGATGGACGACTCCTACTGCCTGTCGGCCCTGCGGTCCCCCTTCTACCCCATCCCCACCCCCGGCTCCCTGCCCCCACTGCATCCATCAGCTATGCATCTCCACCTGTCTGGGGTCCGCTACCCGCCCGAGCTCTCGCACTCGTCTCTGGCGGCGCTGCACTCGGAGCGGATGTCCAGCCTCAGTGCCGAGAGGTAAGCCCTGTCTCAGGCCGGGTGTCCTCTGCTCTTCCCTCCCCGGATGGCAGAGCCTGGCTGGGCCGTTTGTGTGTGGCCAGGCGGGCTCCTTGGCCACTCGGGTCCTGGGTGTGTTCGCCTGCACACGGGGCGGTGACGGTGGGTGCTTGGAGCTCCTGGCCGGTGCCTGACGAGGCTACATCGTCAGACTCTCCAGCCCCCCGGCCGTGAGCTTTCCATGGCGCTTTGGGAGTTGGTGCACAACTTTTGATCTAATGGACTCTGAGTCTCTTGGCGCGTTAACGAGAGGAGAACCCGCCTCACCTCCCATCACCGTTCGGATGGGAATGCTGGCTTTTTCACGAAAGCCTTGGTCTCGGGCGTCAGCTCCTTGCTTCCGGGGGTTCTCCCTAGCGGCCCGGCCCGGCCCCGAGCGCCCCCGCGGTGGAGGCCACATCTCCCTCTGCTCGCCCCGCAGGATGCAGATGGACGAGGAGCTGAGGCGGGAGAGGGAGCGCGAGCGGGAGCGGGAGGCTGACCGCGAGCGCGAGAAGGAGCGCGAGCGGGAGCGCGAGCGGGAGAAGGAGCTGGAGCGCGAGCGGGAGCTGGAGCGTCAGCGGGAGCAGCGGGCCCGCGAGAAGGAGCTGCTGGCCGCCAAGGCGCTGGAGCCGGCCTTCCTGCCCGTGGCCGAGCTGCACGGGCTGCGGAGCCACGCCACCGAGGAGCGGGGCAAGGCCTCGGAGCAGCTGACCCCAACCCGAGCAGGTACCCGAGGGGAGGACCGTGCCCGGGGAGCTGCGTGCTGGGCGGCTCCCGAGGAAAGGGCCCTGCCGCGTAGCCTCTACCCGCCGGCCTGGAGCAGATTCACACCATGCCTTTTGCAAGCTACGCGCCTGATGTCCCCGCGCGGGGAGCCGGGGGGGAGAGGCACACGACACAGAGAAGACAGATGTAGGTAGACAGCTGAAAGACTGCGCACCGTGGTAAAACGTGACATAATTCTTAGGAAGGGATAGTTTTCAGTATTTTTTAGCCTTAGTTTTTAACATTTTACCTAATTTTATCATACGTACGCGTAATCTAACTTGTAGCACCCGGCTCGGGTGATTCCCAGAGTTCAAGTCTGCTCTGGCGTGTGGGCGTGAGCCTGCCCCACACGCCCACACACCCAGCGTGTCACCCGGATGAGGCGCGCGCCCGGACCGTCCACGCCCCCGGCCGTCTCGGCCCGGCCGCGGGGAGGCCCTCGGAGGGTGGCGTGCGTCTCCTCCGGGAGGACGGGCAGCGGGGAGGGACTGAGCCTGGTGCCGAGATCCCGCCGTGACAGCCTTTCTCCCCCACAGAGAAGCTGAAGGACGCGGGCCTGCAGGCGCCCAAGCCCGTGCAGCACCCCCTGCACCCGGCGGCCGCCCCGCACCACCCCGTGCCCGGCCTGCTCTCCACCCACGGCCTGCTCTCTCTGCCGGGCAGCAGCGCGGCCACGGCCCTGCTCCTCCAGCGCACCAACGAGGAGGAAAAGTGGCTGGCGCGGCAGCGGCGGCTGCGGCAGGAGAAGGAGGACCGCCAGTCGCAGGTGTCTGAGTTCCGGCAGCAGGTGCTGGAGCAGCACCTGGACCTGGGCCGGCCGCCGGCACCCGCGGACGCGGAGCACAGGCCCGAGAGCGCCAGGTGGGCCCGGGGATGGGGGCGGCGTCTGCACGAGGGAGCCCGCGTTTAACGAGAGCCTGTGATAGGCTTCCTGCGAGCCTGCGTGTTGTCACTTGTGTTTCATTTCACCTTCTAACCCCCCCGCCCCCCCCGCCCCCCCTAACCCTAACCCTAACCCTAACCCTAAGCGCTTTGGCCTGGGAGGAGGGAGCGGTGAGGAGGGAAGGCGGTTGCTCAGGGTCGTCCATCCCCGAGTAACCTGTGTCTACAGCCCCGGCCCAGCTGCGTCCCAGCAGCGACGCTCGCGGTGCCTGAAGGAGGGCGACGGAGAATCTTCATTCAATGATTACGTCCTTTCCATCTCCTTCTGCCCAAACTTTTTTTTTTTTTTAATGAGAAGGGGGATTCCTTTTAGTTTTTAATCAAACAAATTAATTTTACTGCTTTTGTAATTTAAAAAAATACCCGTTTCTCCGGCCCTGTTCTAAAATATTTCCAAGAGGCCTTTGCACGTGTCTCTGGGACCCCTGGCTGCCGACACCTGCCTTGTGAGCTGGGCCCCTTCTTAGAGCTGCCCGTGAGGCCTCGCTGCTCCCCGTCTGCTGATCTGGCTGTCATCTTGTGTCCCCCACCCCACCTTCCCTCCCTCCAGGGCTCACTCTGAAGGGCCAGGCTGAGACCCACACCAGAGTTGGTGGCGAGAGCCTGGCCAGGCCTGGGGCACACTGGACACCGCTCGCCTTCTCCGGGCCCATCTCCCTCCGCTTTGCACAAAAGAGCTTGGGTGGGAGGATTTCTGAGCCTCTTGCCAGCCCCTGATGTCCATGGTGCTGGGTTTCTGGGTCGGAGGCGTTGTAAATGTCCACTTGTTCCCTCCCTCTTTCTCCAGCTGGTGGGTTTTTTTTCCTGTGTCCTGGGCATGGCTGGCCCGTCCAGCAGTCCTGCCTCTGCACCCACTGAGGGGATTCGCTTGCTAATCGGGTGTGACCGGGAGTGCACTGTGGCCAGGCCCCTGCCTGGGCCTCCTATGTCCTCCGGCCTCTGCTCCGCTCAGCGTGGCCACAGCGAGGTCTGTGCTGCAGACGGTCCCTCTGCTTCTCTGGGCCCGTCCGAGGCTACACAGGGGCTGTCTCATCTGCTTCTGAGCTGCCCTCTGTTCCTCTGGTCCCCGTCACACCCAGGGGACTGGGTGAGCAGTCAGCACACGTCTAGCATCTCCTGATAAATTCAGGGCGTGCTGACTCCCGAGGGTGGCTTCCTCTGCTTGGGGCCGCAAGATCCCAGCGCAGCTGTCAGGGCCTGTGTGCTGCTGCCCCCAGCAGGGGTGGCCTCTGCCTCGGTCCTCACCTGGCCTCGGTGGTCCCCACAGCAGCGCGAACCTGAGGGTCTTTCGGGCCCTTGGGCTCCGGGTTAGAAAGCCAGCCTGTGCCTGGCTACAGCGCGTGAAATATTGCTTCGCTAACAGGTTTCATTGCGCTGCTGTTTACTTGAGGACTTATCGCTTCTCGATATGGTTCCCTTTCGTATCCACCCAGCAGAGGCGCAGTGGCCTTGGTGGCTCTGATTAGCCGGCCCCCTCCTCGGCCAGGCAGGAGGAGCCCTGGGAGACGGCTGCTCACGTGCCTGCCGTGGCCTCTGCCCTTCCCCTTCCGTCCCCTCAGACCTTACCCTCGGTCTCCGTGGCAGCGTGGGGCTTCCCTTAAGAAAATGGATAAACTTTGGAGAAACAGCGGCCACGTAGTCCTCTGGAAGGTGAACGTTGTTTTAAATGCACCGAGGAAAGAGGCACTTAGTTTGGCTTCGGGGCAAAGCTGCTTGTCTGGTGGACGGTCCCCTCCCTCCCTCCCTCCCTGTGTGTGAGGGGCGCGCGCTCCAGCAGGTGGCCTGGCTCCCTGGACCGGCCCCGGCCCGGGCCTTGAAGACCCTCTGGGCGTAGCTGCCGGCTGTGAGGGTGTCCATGGAAGCAGGTCGAGGCCGGCCTCTTGCTGCTGTGTGTGAGCACGGAGTCGGAGAGAGGAGGCCGGGCCCCCTCCGCATGGCTCGCCTGGAGTTGGGATCGGGTCGGGGGCGGGTCTGTTCTCAGCATGCTCGGAATTCAGGAAGCCGTGGCACAGGGTGAGCTGCTGTGAGGTCGCTGGTGAGAGACGGGCTCGAGCGGGTCTGGCCGGGCCGGGACTGTCTCTGCCCTAGACCCGCAGAGCCCATTGTTCTCTCCAAAGCGGGCCTGCAACACGCCTGCCGCGAGCTGTCCACAGAGAAGGCGGCGGAGCGGAAGGCCCGTCCTCCCTCCAGCCCTGGGACGTGGCCCAGAGGAGGCCTGCTCGCCCCTCCAGCTCTGGCCGGCTCGGGGCTCCCGGCAGGCGGCCTGGGGGCCAGGGTGGCTGGCGCGCCTGGGCCCTCGCGGCTGACGGCTGCTTCCGCTCCCTTCGCAGGCCGGGACCAAACCGTCACGAGCCGGGAGGCCGCGACCCCCCGCAGCACTTTGGCGGGCCCCCGCCCCTCATCTCACCCAAGCCCCAGCACCACTCGGTGCCCACGGCCCTCTGGAACCCGGTGTCCCTGATGGACAGCACGCTGGAGACACGGCGCGCCCCCGAGGGCCACCCTCTGCACGGCCACCCCGCCCCGTTTGAGCCCAGCCGCCAGGCAGCCGTCCCACTGGTGAAGGTGGAGAGGGTCTACTGCCCCGACAAGGCGGAGGAGGGACCCCGGAAGCGAGAGGCTGCCCCCCTGGACAAGTACCAGCCGCCGCCCCGTGAGGCGGGGGGCCTGGAGCCGCAGGCCTTCGCCCCTGCGCCCGCGCACTTCCTGGCGGAGCTCGAGCCGTCCACCCAGACCGTCCTGGGCCAGCCCCGGGCCCCGCTCGTCCCGCCGGCCCCCTTCGGGGAGACCCCCGGGCCCCTGAAGCCGGGCTCGCCCTACCGGCCCCCAGCGCCACGGGGCCCCGACCCCACCTACGTCTACGACGAGTTCCTGCAGCAGCGACGGAGGCTGGTCAGCAAGCTGGACCTGGAGGAGCGCCGGCGGCGGGAGGCCCAGGAGAAAGGTCGTGTCCCTGGCGGCCACGGCCCTCCCTCCTCCCTCCTCCCTCCTCCCTCCTCCTTCATTAACAGTGCAGCGTAAAGGGGAGGAGGCTGTCGAGAGCGTGGCCCGGGGCCCGGTGGGGACTCCTCTCCCGGGGCTGCTGTCCCAGTTGCAGGCGGGTGGGTGGCCTAGAGGGCGGGGAAGGCGGGAGCTCTGCCCGCCTCTCCTTCCTGCTCCTGCACAGGGGGGGGTGGGACTCAGCCAGCGGCATCCTGGGTTCCCCAAAGAGCTACGGAGAACAGGCGAGCAGGCCCAGGGCAAGCATGGCTGTCCCCTACCTTCACCCCCTGTCAGACCAGGAGGGATCGGGGACCCAGACCAGTTTCTTCTGCATGGTGTTAAGTTCAGCCTCTTAGCTAGAAGCGGGGGCCAAGGCCGAGTGAGTCTTGGTTGGTGTACGTTGTTGCTCTAGGCTAAATTTAGAGCCCCAGAAAGATTTTTCTGCTCCACTCACCTTGTGAGAAGGCGGGGGGAGAGCCCCGGTGCCCTCGGGTGCAGGGGTTGTGTCCTCTGCACGGGAGTTTGCATGCGTGCTCTGTACCTTTGAGGGGACGGGGACCTGAGTGTGCCTGTCCCCTCCCGAGCAGGAGGGAGCGGATGTGCACAGACAGCCTTGGGCTGCCGTGGACGTGGCCCCGGGCCTGTGTGACGAACGGTCCCCTGCTGGGGGATCGGTGTTGGCCAGGAGACCGCCTGGTCACTTGGGGTCTGTGGATCCAAGGGAAGCCTGGTGCTTGCTTTCTGCCCCCCACCTGCCAGCCCTAAGAAGCCCTAGGACTAGGGGTTAATGCACATTTCCACCTGGGGTGAAAGGAATCTGGCTTTGGGGGGGTGCTCAAAGGGCGGTAGGGCCTGGCCTGCCAGGTGGAGTGCCCTGCGTGTGTTCACTGGCGAATCGAGGCTCCCTGCCCAGCTGAATAGATCCGTTCCACCTCCAGGATACTACTACGACCTGGACGACTCCTACGATGAGAGTGACGAAGAGGAGGTTAGGGCCCACCTCCGCTGTGTGGCCGAGCAGCCGCCCCTCAAATTGGACACGTCCTTTGAGGTATCTGGGGTGCGTCGCTGCGGTCAGGCTCTGGGCTGGGCTGCTGGCACCCACCTCGGTGCCTGCCTCCGGGCTTGCCCACGCTTGTTGGGATGCCGTCAGGGCCCTCCTCCTCCCGGGCCCGGCGCCCAGTGGCCACGGCACGAGAGCTCTGAGGACCCCGGGAGGGGCCGCTGGGTCAGCAGAAGCACGCCACTGCCAGTGGTTTCAAAATCATTTGTTCTCTTTCCCAATCTAGAAGCTAGAGTTTTTGCAACTTTTTGGCTTGACCACCCGACAGCAGAAGGAGGAACTGCTGACCCAGAAGCGGAGGAAGCGGCGGCGGATGCTGAGAGAAAGAAGCCCGTCGCCCCCGACGGTCCAGAGCAAGCGGCAGACGCCGTCGCCGAGACGGGCGCTGTCCACCCGCTACAGCCCCGACGAGATGAACAGCAGCCCCAACTTCGAGGAGAAGAGGAAGTTCCTGACCACCTTCAACCTGACCCACATCAGCACTGAGACGAGGAAAGGTGCGGCCCGGGTGGGGCGGGGCCTCGGCCAGGAGGGCTGAGGGTCTCCGAGGCAGGAGGCGGGGCCTCGGGCCTCCTCCTGGCTCCCCTCTGCTCTCACAGACTTGCCCCACTGTCTCCGCCGTCACGCTTCTCTCCCCGTCGGAAACTTGCACGGCCCCCTTCAAAGCCTGTTTTCTCTTGTCTCATCCCGGGTGGAATTGAAGGCGCGCTGGTGTTCTGTGTACAGCCCACCGTGAGCTTGATGCCTGCTCTCGTCCCTTGTCAGGTCCCCCAGCGCGTTCAGCCCGCCCTGGGTGTGGGGTGGACGTGCACCTTCCCGAGCAAGGTGCTCAGGCTTCTCGGTAGCGGGCGTTTTCTCTTGGCGGCTGCTCTCGTGGCCGCTGGGCAGAGCCGGCACCCACTGAGTGGACGATCTGCCCTGAGAGATGCTTCCAGATCGGTCTGGCCACCAAGGGCCATGTCGGGGCTGACTCTTGGGCTGGAGCCCGTGGTGCGGTCTGAACGCTGTCTGGGGCACCTGCTGCCTTGGTCTGCCGCTCACGCTCGCTCAGTGCCAGGATGGTGGCGCAGGTGAAAACTAGGCCTTCCTGGGGTACGCACCCCCACGTTCCCCTTGCTGGCACTCGCGCGCCTCTCTCCAGAAGGAAGAGGAAAGCAGAAGTGCTTCTTGGTCGTGTAGTTACTTTCACTTATTTCCGTAGCGGGGGTGTAGCATTCAGTTTTTGTGTCGAACCAGTGAGCTGGAGTTCTTGCTTTCTCTTGAAGGGGCAGTGACACGATCACCAGGGCAAATCCCTGGGAACGTGCAGAGTTTTGTTTGTAAAGAGCATCTTTGTGCCTGACTTAATTCCTGGAGGACGCCGCCGGTGACGTGGCCACTTAAGTTTCAGTCCGCGAGAGGCCCCTGAACTGCCTCGGGAATCTGTGGCGTCAGATGTCACCGGGTCGGTGTCCCTTTTCCCTAAACGGCCGCCGTCGTGGGATTCGCACTCGCGTGGCAGGCGGCGGGGAAGAGACTGTCAGGAAGCAGCCTGTGCTCCCCAGGGCTCTCTGGGGCTCTTCGGGGTTGCTTCCTGTGTCGGGGCCGACTTTTTTCTCTTTTAAATAAATAAGAATTCGTTCCCAGAAGCTCGCAGGTACCAGTTATTTATTCACTGCACACACACAGCCGTTCTCGCACACACCTGAAATGTTCTGTAGTGAAAGCTGAGAGGAATCTGGGCTCGCTGTAAAGTGCCGTTTCTTCCTCTAAACCTATAGCCTGTCCCCGTGGCTCTGTGTTTCTAAAGGGCTCGCGCCTGCCGGTCGCGGCCTGGGCTGGACTCCTGCTCGCCTTCCCTCCCGGGGGTGCCACGATCCTCTTGTTAATCTCGGGCTGCTTTTCTCATAGACAAAGAGAGGCTTGTTGAGCTGCTCCAGGCCATGAAGCAGAGGGCGCTGTCAGCAGCGGTGGCAGACCCGCTCAGGAGCTCTCCGAGGGACAGTCCTGCTGGGTCCCTGAGCGGTAAGGCCAGCCCCATCCGCCACCGCCCGGGACTGTCCCGGGGGCTGCCCAGGGTCAGAGGCCACCACCCCAGGTCGTCTTCCTCCTGGACACAGCGTGTGCTGCTTTCTCTCCATCTCTCTCTCAAGCTTCCTGCGCGTGGGAAGGATCTCCTCGGCCGGAGCGCGAGCCTTGGCAGTCGGGGCTCGGAGGGTTCAGGGGGAGGGTCCCGGCTGCAGCACACTGTGCCCGGTGGTCGGCGTGGCTCTGGCCGCCGTCCGTCCGCCCAGCGGTGGCCCGGGTCTCAGCACCTGCTGCTTGGGCTCTGTGCTCCCGTCCATCCACCCTTCGCGCTCCTCCCGGCGTCTTTTTCTTGCTTTTTCTGCCTTGCAGGCCCCTCCAGTACCTGCTTTCACACCTCCTGTCTCTCTCTCTCTCCCGTGGCTCTGACTCTCCTGCACTGTCCTGCTGACAGAGCAGGAAATCTTGTTGGTCTGGCCCTGTTCTCAGCTCGTAATTGGATCTTTCTGGTCGGGTCGGGCTACGTAACTTCCTGCCTTTTGGATCGACCGCAAGCGACTTGCTTCTTCCTTCAGAGTCTTCTCTTCCTCTCAGATGCCCTCCTGGGGCACCTTTCAAGGATGGCCTTGCTGCTAAACACGCCCCGTCTCCGACCACACAGTGCACACTGACCTTTAGTTAAATGGCTCCGAAGTCCGGGTCCTTTGCCCTACGTCATTCAGTGCAAGCTCTAGACATCAGGGTTGGCCCGTTCACATTGCAGGTCTTAACGTGTTCCTCACTTTCTGTCTCTAAAAGAACCAGCCACGCAGCAAGCCTCTCTGGATACGGAGAAGCCTGTGGGTATCACTGCTTCCTTGTCTGACATCCAGAAGGCCACGGAGCCTGGGAGACTGGAACAGCTCCGGCCGCAGGAGCGAGTCCAGGAGCCAGCCCCCGCCAGCGGTGAGAAAGCCAGGCCGAGCGAGACCCCTGGGGGCAAGAAGAGCCTGAGCATGCTCCACTACATCCGGGGCCCCGCGCCCAAGGACATCCCCGTGCCGCTGTCCCACGGCATCAACGGGAAGAGCAAGCCGTGGGAGCCCTTCGTGGCGGAAGAGTTCGCGCATCAGTTCCACGAGTCCGTCCTGCAGTCCACCCAGAAAGCCCTGCAGAAGCACAGAGGTAACGAGGCCGCCTGGCTGTGTCGAGGAGCGCCACTCGGGGTGCGTGAGGCACCTGGCAGTAGAGGCGGGTTTTGCCTCTGCAGGTCCAGGGTGGGGCCTGGGAGCGCACCGCTTGGAGCGGGTGCCCGGGTGCTGCTGCTTCGTGGACCACACGTCAGGGAAGCTTAGGGAAGCTTAGCGAGAGAGGCCGTCTGAATTTAATAAGGCCCTTCGAGGAGCCTTTTCAGCGAAAACAGGATCCGTGCCTTCTGCAGCTGAATGATTTCCCAGCTTCCCCTACGGACTCACCTAGGAAGCTCCCTGTCTGTCCTTTGATAACTAGACTCAGCGAGCACTTTGTGTGACATACTGGTTGCTCCAGCCCCATGTGTGAGCCCCCAGATTCATGCCCCTTGGACATTTTGCTGGGAATCACTGCAGGTCAGAGAACGGGTCAGTACATTTCATTCCCGTTGATTAGAAAAGAATCCTCAGTGATTAAATCACTACTGAGTGTAAAATAAATTTCTGTACACTCCAGTAGCCAGAAGAAAGTATAAAAGAAATTTTATTACTGCAACCTACAAGAGCTGACTATTAGACATACAGCTCTGGCGTCAGTATCCTTCAGGTAAATTAACGCTGGCAGCAGAGATGAAATGATACTCAAAAAGCAAAGGGCAGTGGTTGTCGCAGTGATCTTTGAAAACAGCTCTCCAAGGCAGGAGGAGCGCTTTATTGGAAGTTTGTTGTGAATTTACTTGAACCGTATTTTTCCAGATGGAAATGTTTTGGCTGCGTGACTAGATCAAACCCCTCTGTGCTCCCCCCTAAGACACACCCACAGAGGCTTTTCGGTGGCCCGAGGACACATTTTTCCTGCCTCATTTCAACCATTCCCTGATGTTACACTTGTTTTGTCCGGACTTTAAAAGTCACCCAGCCCCTGACAGTTGGGGCCGTACCGGTCCACTGACTGCCGGAGGCTGCTGTCCACGCGGGGAGGCACCTTGCGCCCGTTAGACCACCAGCAGCAGGGCCACAAGGCAGAGCGGACCTTGTCTACACAGGGCCCCGCCAGTTAGCGGCCTCCTGGTAGCCGGCAGGGCACGGGGTGTGTTCAGGGACTGGGAGCGCCTGCATTTCCTGACGAGCGGGGGCAGATACTTACTGAGGGCCCACTGTAGACCGAGCTCAAACCCACAGTTTCACAGAATACGACGTCGAGGCTCAGGGCCTAACACAGCTGAGCCTCGTACACGTGGTGCGGTTAACTGAATCTAGGCCCCCTGCCGTCTTATTTACTTATGGCTGCACTGGGTCTTCGTTGCTGCACACGGGTTCTTGTCTAGTTGCGGCGTGCGGGGGCTACTCTTCGTTGCGGTGTGCGGGCTTCTCATTGCAGTGGCTTCTCTTGTTGTGGACCATGGGCTCTAGGCGTGCGGGCTCAGTAGCTGTGGCTTGTGGGCTGTGGGGCGCAGGCTCAGCAGCGGTGGCGCACGGGCTTAGTTGCTCTGCCTGCTGCCGTAAACGGCTCTCTTCAGCCCTCCGGATGGTGCCGTCTTCGGTCTCCGAAGGGCACAGGCCTCACCATGCTTCGTCTTGTCCACAGCGAGACCTCAGTCACACTGACCCCGTCGCCTGCCCCCAGCACAGGTCCCCACGGGCCCTGTGATGAGCCGTCTTCTCTTCCCCAGGAAGCGCAGCTGTGCTGTGCGCAGAGCAGAACCACAGCATCGACGCCTCTGTCCACTACAACATCCCCGAGCTCCGGTCCTCCAGCCGGCTGCCTCTGCCCCAGCGCGACGGGCAGCAGGAGCCCCCCGCCGGGAGGAAGGGCCCCCTGGCGCAGGAGGTGGACCCGGACTCAGAGGAGGAGGAGGACGACGACGACGGAGAGGGTGACGACGAGGACCCCCCCAAGCGCAAGTGGCCTGGGATCGAGGCCGTTTTTGAAGCTTACCAGGAACACGTAGAAGGTACGCAGGGGAGCGGGAGGCAGGCCCTGGCGAGGGGCCCGGGAAAGACGGGGAAGGAAAGCTTAATAGGCCAGTCAGCGCCAGATTTTGTCGCCGGGCTGGGGACTAAGTCATGGCACCCGCTCTCAGGGTTCTCGGGGTCCCTGGGCCACAACTAGGCAGAAACACCGGAAGGTACGTCTCCGTCAGCCATTTCGCCTATTTCCAGAACCGTTCCTCGGGCTCCTGTGGGTGCCCGGGCTGGCTTACAGGGGCAGTTCCTCACGGACAAACCTGAGGCCATCCTCACTGGAGAAATTTAAGCACCAGGCGCCCATCCCCGCTCAGCATGACAGCACCCACCTGGGCCTGCTCGCCCTCGGCTGTCTTCCATTGCACTTCTAAACACTCTATCAGTCCTGACACTTGTGGCTACGTACAAGGGTCCTGGAAAGTGCAAAGCTGCTTCACTTAGCCGAGCCCCACATGGCCAGGCTGCTCAAGTGTGCAGCGTCTCGGCGACGTGGCGGTGTCCCCCACATGCTCTGTGGTCCTCCTGGACTAGAGCTTTGTACGGGAGGCGAACCCTTGTTGGCCACCAGCATGTCAAAACCCAGGCCACTGCCAACCCCAGATTCTGTTTCTTACCATATCATACAGGAGTCTTATCATGAATATCACGATCTTTGCAAATATTTTAAAGTAAGCATTTTAAAACGCACCGAGTACAATCAAAAGGAATGCCCACATAGCCACAACGTGTCAACTCCTACGTTTTGTTTATTTACTTTTTATGGACGTGTATAGTTGATTTACAGTGTTGTTATTTTCAGGTGTGTAGCAGTGATTCGGTTATACATTCAGCTCTTTTCCATTGTGGGTTTATCACAGATATTGATATAGTTCCCTGTGCTGTACAGTACAGTAGGACCTTGCTGTTCACCCTATTTTATGGATAGTATCAACTCCTACATTTTGCCTCCTTTTCTCCTTCAAATGAAACCCTCGTTTTGAATTTATTAAGTACATATATATATCCAGGAGGATATGTGTCAATAGCATTCCTTTTTATTTTAACACAGCGAAATGTATCCATCTTTTTCTGGGTTTATTTTTTGGTGTGGTGCCTTGCTGGAATTCCTTCCCTACCCCAAGGACATGGTAACTAACAAATGCATTTCCTTCCAAGTCTTCAAGTTCTGCTTTTCTTATGCGTAGAATTCATTTCTGTGGATGGAGTAAGGAAGTGCAACTCCTCCTCTGCCACCCAGACAGCCAGTGATCCTGGAGGTCTGTGGGGTACCCTCTTCCCCATGGGGTGTGCTCCTGGCAGGCAGTGTCCTCCCCGCGTGCCCAGGCCCGTCCCTGTGTCACTGCCGTAGCTTTGCAGCTCCCCGTTGCCTGGAGTAACTCACCCTGACTTTTCTGACAGCTTAGCCGTTCTTGGCCCTTGGCTTTCCCTGGTGTATTTTAGGATCGCCTTTTTTGTTCCACCCAAAAAACTTAGATTTTCAGGTACACTGAGTTTATAGAGTTGGGGAAAATGGACGTCTTTGACGGTGATGTTACTCCACCTATGAATATGGCGTTAAATCATTTTTGCTCCGTGAGCCGTTGACTTTCCTTTTATTTTAGGTATCACTTAGTTGGTTACTGGGGATGTTTTAGTTTCTGTCGTCCCTTATTCCTTAGACGATCATAGATGATCAGGCCTGCCAATAAAAAGTTGTATTCTTTCCTTTTGAATTTTGTATACATTTCCTTTTTCTTGCCCTGGTGCATCGCCTAGGATCATTTGTAGACTGTTGAACAGGGACACCTGTGGGGCTCTTTTCTGTGAAACTTTACGAGCGCTCCAGTAAGTTGCTGCTGAGTTTTCTGGTGTGCGGTTGTTGAAAGTCAACTAATGTGTTTTCTGGATTTACTGAGATGAGAACCTTGTTTTGCACCTATTGATGTTTCCTGATGTTGCTTGCTTACTCCTTGCTGAATTGCATTTGATAGCACTTCTAAGATTTTTAACTTATATTCTTAGGTGGTATTAGATTGATTTTATTGGACTTTATCCTGCTATCATGACTGTTCTAGCTTCTATGAAATCAGTCAGGTAGCCTTCCCTGGCTTCCACTCTCTGATGAAACACTTCATATAAAGGAGGGATTTATTCTTTTTTTTTTTTTTTTTTTTTTTTTTTTTTGGGGGTGTGTTGGTTTCACGTGTACAGCACAGTGATTCAGTTGTATACATATACATATATCCACTCTTGTTTAGATTCTTTCCTCATACAGGCCATTACAGAGTACTGAGTTCCCTGTGCTATACAGTATAGGTCCTTATTAGTTACATATTTTACATATAGTAGTGTGCACATGTCAATCCCAGTCTCCCCAGTTTATCCCTCCCCCCACTTTCCCCCCTGGTAGCCATAAGTTTGTCTGCTACATCTGTAACTTTATTTCTGTGTTGTAAATAAGTTCATTTGTACCATTTCTTTAGATTCCACATACAGGTGATAGCATATGATGTTTGTCTTTTTCTGTCTGACTTCGCTCAGTGTGACAATCTCCAGGTCTATCCACTGTTGCTATAAACGGCATTATTTCGTTCTTCTTTATGGCTGAGTAAGATTCCATTGTATATATATGCACACGTCTTTATCCATTCCTCTTTCGATGGACGTTTGGGTTGCCTCCATGTCCTGGCTATCGTAAGCAGCGCTGCAATGAACATTGGGGTACACGTAAACTTTCGAATCGTGGTTTTTTTCCAGATATAAGCCCAGGAGTGGGATTGCTGGATCTTACGGTAATTCTTTTTTGAGTTTTCTGACGAAGCTCCATACTCTGTACCCTTGTCCATCGTGGCTGCACCAGCTTATACAGGAGGGTTCCCTTTTCTCCACACCCTCTCCAGCGTTTATTGTTTGTAGATTTTTTGATGATGGCCGTTCTGATCAGCGAGAGGTGGTACCTCAGTGTAGTTTTGATTTGCATTTCTCTAATAATTAGTGTGTGTGAACATCTTCTCATGTGCTTTTTGGCCATCTCTATGTCTTCTCTGGAGAAATGTGTTTTAGATCTTCTGCCCTTTTTTTTTTTTTTTTTTTTTTTTTTTTTTTTTTTT